CCCTGCTGGCCTTTAAAAGGAATCCAGATCTAAGACATAAGCATTGGCCTCACATTTTCAAATCCATAAGCTGCTCCTATCTTTTACGTCATCTAACCCCGAGGGGTCTACCGTTATTTGGTCTTCATCAGGCAAAAGCAGAGGTTATCTTTTTGTCCTGTACTGTAATGCTCTCAGAATTGCAGACCTAACATTAGCAGCCTCCAGTGGTCAAACAGCTTCTCTGTGGTCTTCTGACCCTTACTGTCTGATTACTGTTAATGATGCAGGGTGAAACACGCGTTTAGCATCCAGAACATTTGCTTGTTTATTTTGCCTTTTTACTAAAGGACTACTTCCTGAAGCCATGATGCATAATGAGCCTTGAAGGCCGTGTGCTTGTGTGTTCAAAGGTTTTGTGTATTTGAAAGATGCTTAGTGTGTTTTGGAGGCCGGTGGTGTGATGTGACCACTTTTGCCATAGGAACACAAAGACTCGGATTGGGATGGTCAGGATGCTCCTCTCTAGAGCAGGTTCAGAGGTCAGCTTAGAGCTCAGGCTCTTCTGGGGAGCAAAGTGCATGGGTGGTGGGTGCTACCGTGAGCATTGTGCCTGCTTATGCACAAACACCTCTGTGTGTGAGCGTGTGTATGTGGCTGAATGTGCTGGGTGGGGTTACGCACAGTATAAAATGGATCCCAGTGGACAAGCGTGTTTGGACCAGTCCCTATGGATGGAGAGAGAAAAGGGGAGAGATGATGATGAGGGCTGGTGACGGTTGGCCGATGGGGTCCAGCGGGGATGGAGCAGCCTGCTAATGAAGAGCCATCTGAGGCCTCCATTCACCTTGAACATGGGGCGCTGCAGCTGCCCTGACCTTGGCTTTGATCCACAAAGATGCTTGACCCCTACCATTTCCCCAGAGCTACCCCCACCATCTGGACAGCATGCATGCATATGTATACATATGTGCACACACCCATAGATGCATATGCATACACACGTATGTTGCTCCATATATGCATGCACATATGTTCACACAGGTATGAGTAGCAGGTTTCTGGCTTCACACCTGCGCTGATTCGCTGCATGCTAGCTATAAGTTCAGGTCTTCGTCGCCTGTAATGATAGAGAAGCAGAGGGCAGCCAGGGGACAGGATGAAAAAGGAGCATTTCTCAAATGTGTAAAGTGTTGGAGTTAATAGGCTTTTCTCTCTGTAGCACTTCCACCCTCATAACTCCAAAACGACCACATCCACGTCTCCAGATATCTCCTAACTAAAGTTGTTTTACATTAACTCCAACCTGGGAGATTTTTTTTCTCGTTACTATCCCAGTGTTTGCCACGCTCCATAAACATTACATTGGTTTTCCTTTCTTCTCCCTAATAAGAATGCAGCCGCTTGGAACGTAGGGGTTCCTTGGAAATTCCCAAAGTGCTTCTGCAAACTCTCCTCCCACCCGTGCTCGTCTTTCTTGACCTCCCCGTTCAGCTGTAAATGACAGTTATGTCACGGGTGACTTGAGTTGCGTTCCATCTGTGGAAATGTAGACCTGTCTGCATTTTCCTTTTTATATTCCATCCCTCGCTTTATGAGATTTTTTTTTATGGCACAGGATATGGGGTTTAGCCTTCTGTGATACAGTTCATCAGGAAGGCTTTCATAACGCGTAACATTTTCAGAAAGTATGAAGTTTTCTAAGCTGCCGTCCTCTTTCCCGCTCTCACAAACACAAATATTTACCAGGAACTCACCAACTGTAGCTGGAGCTTATTTTTCCACTAAAAGTAGGTCAGCGTCAGCGGGTTTGGTGTCCGTAACATGGACACGGCGTTTGCATCATTGTTCTGGATGTGTCCCCTGATTACTATACTGCATAGAGGTAACAGCGTCTGTGCATATGCAGGGGAACAAGCTGTGCTCATGCCTAAGTAATTAGAGACCAGCATAAAAATGAGAGTGAAGGCAAGATTAGCCCTCACTGTGCATCAGGTCTGATTTCTGTGCAACAATTTTTTGTTTTTACCCGCAGATAGCATCTCACATTTACTTAAGTGAGCTGATTATGGCTCTCGCTTTTACTCATCCCCAGAATACCTTTTATTAGTCTCCCTCCCTCCCTCACCACCTGTTTTTCTCCCCCTCCTTCTGTCATATTTTCTCTCGTCTCCTGATAATTCTGCACTATCTACCTTCATTTTATTCTGTGAAGTTTTTTTTCCTCTCTCGCTGTCTCTCACCCAGTATAATCCATTTGTCTAACTTGGATAGAGGGCAGCGGAAGGAAGTAGTGGAGGAGAGGCGTGTGTCAGAGTCAGAGAGAGCGTCTGCTCCAGCTGGAGTCAATATTTGCTTTAGGAATCTCAATAACAGGCCTGCAGTCATCTGCATCTCTGATAATGGACAGCCATATGGCTCTGTTGACCCACGCTGTGCCGAGGTTCTCTCTCCCCATCCTTCCTTGTTTTTCATTTCTCGGCGTCCTTCTATGTTCTCTCGTTTCTTCTCATTCAATCAGTCTTTTTCCTGTATTTTGCCCTCCACTTGCCACCTCAAATGTGGACACATTTTGCTCTTTTTTTTTAAACAAACATCCTTTCTCTCGGTCATCCACTAAACCCTGGATATGACCCACCACACAGAGCTGTGACCCAAGTTACCATGGCAGCAGAGCTTGGGATACCCACTCTTTGTCCAGCACGGTTTCAAACAAGTGACAGAAAACAGTGACGTTGCATGTCTGGCTATGACAGGAAGACAGATGCAAAGCTCACGGCGAAGTGCTTTTACGCGCTTAAAGTCATGCTGCTCTGCATTTCCTAAATGGAGGTGTTGGCAAAGAATGAAACGTACACTTAATATTTTTATTTATTTATTTTTAATCTTCTCGTTTCTTTATTTTTGTGAGCTTTTAATTTAATGGATGTCTTAGTGTTGTGTCCTAACAAGTGTCCAAATGAGGTTATCTAAAGCTTCTGCTTTATTTTTTTAGCAAAGTAAACTTCTCTTGTGTTTGAGCAACATGTATATTTTATTTATTAATGATCTCCTGCATTATGCTGCCCTCACGACACGTGACCATGTGAAGCTAGACAGCTAGCGAACAAAATAGATGAGATCTTCCACACAAGGCTTGCTTTTCTTGCTTTTAATGAAGATCCTTTAAAGCCTTATCCTCTCTCAAGGCTTCTCCTTGCTATTTCTTATTTGTAACTGAAATATACAGAAAGTGAAAATAAATTGCTAGCTAATACACATCTTAATGAGAAACTTAGCCTAGCTTAACACGTGCGTTACATTAGCATCGCAGTTAACTCCAGGTAAACATATATGAAAGTTATTTCTGAACATATTAATACTCACAAAGACAAACGTTTCCCAAGGTACAAGCGTGTAGGGCACTTTTAACGTGTACATGAACTCATTCACTCTTTTAATACTGCCGAAGCACTTTTCGCGGCATTAACGGAGAAAACACTTCAAAGATAGGCGAATGATCCGAGTGCTCCCTCGCTCCCATTTCCGCACATACAATACAAAGATCGCTTGTGATAACGATGTCTCACTCTGAGAAAATTTCGAATATAATTTTAATATTTCTTAACTTTGAACTTATTTATCACTTTGCTTATGTAACTTAATCAGACTATGCACTAACTACTGACTTTTGACCAAAAAGCATAACATGCATGTTGGGGGGAAAAAACATTATTAAGTCGTGCCTCGTCAGTGAACTTACTTCCTGTTATCGTGTCTCTTATTCTGCCCTCTGTCCGTTTCTGACTCGCAGCAGCTTGGCCATCGTACCCTCTGGTGTGTCCCGGCTCAGGTGCCCGTCATCCCCGCTTTGCTACGCTTCCCCTCAAAGCCATTGGTCATGGCTGCGTTGGCCCCTGCTGTGGCGGCATGTGCCCACAGCAGGCCCCCTGCCCACTAGCTGTCTCGTCCTATCTATCTAACCCAGACTAGAGCCTCTCAGCCCAGTCCAGCCTATCTCAGCTCAGCCTGGTACAGCTTTGGCGTCAGCAGCGGCCCGGTGTCACTCCACCCTGGCAGTCATAATGAGACGAGGGGGAGGAGGGCGTCGGCGTTCAGCAGCGAGAGCGCCGCGTGTGTGTTTCAGTGCGAGAGCGTATGCATTTGTCAAGCAATTTGTCAGGTGTCGTCTGTGAAGGAAACATGACTGCAACAGACAGCTGAGAATAATCAGGCTACACACACACACACACACACACACACACACACACACACACTGGTGTATCTCACAGCACTTAGGATCATTATGCCTCCAGATAGACCTTTTTACTCCAATAGTTCACTACACCATATTTCATCCAGCACTTGCCGCCATTCCACAACATGATATATCTGTGATAATGATATGATAATGGCCATCAGAATGTTTTCCACCCTACCCAGCAGCCTTTTTGCGGGCTTATTTGTTTATATATTTATTTATTTATTGGAGCTTTCTCATTTCAAACCCAGCCATCCATCCTGCATGCTGGCTGCCCAGGCCCCAGTCACTGCTTGTCACTCTGAATTTCAAATGGCTCCAATTTTCCCCCTGATGGCACGGAGAAGTGGCAGGCAGCACATCGGGGAGGGTGGTCCTAGACATGCTGCCTGCAGCAGGGGTTCTATTAGAGCGAAGAGAGGGATGAGAGGCGGGAGAGGACAGGAGAGGAGAGTTTTCGAGCATCACGCCAGTAGTGATGTATTCTTTCTCTCTTTCTTTATGATTATTGTGGAGACTGCATTCTCATTTTGGGGTTGGTGTGGCATGGCTGATTGTTCCATCTTTGCTCCTGGCTGGGTTTTGCTGATGGTGGAGCTGCCCTGCCCGGTAAAGCTGCTTTCTGGCGCCTCCGGAAAAATGTGGCTGTTATTTGTCTTTATTTTTGGTTTGTTGAAATCTGCAAAAAAATTAATTGATATTTTTATGTAACTCTTATGAGAATCCAAGGCTTTTTCTCCTGTTTATCATCGTGTGCTTTCCCTTAACAAGACCTTACCAGCTATGAGGAGCGGGCACTCTACTTGGAGGCCATTGTTCAGAATCATAGAGAGGTCATGACCTTTGAAGACTTTGCCTCACAGGTTTTCTCCCCCTCCCCTGGATATCCAATGAGTGGGACAGGTGAGAAATGAACCACACTGCAATTCTGTCCTCTTCCACATTCTTTCCACTCCACCTCTTTCTGTCTCTCCATCTCACTCCTGCTTCATTACCTTTGGGTATTTTCCTCCCATGCCTTCTTCCCTTTTTCCTCATCCTCCCCCCCCCCCCTGCATTTCAGTCTCTTCTTCCTTCAAAACACACCTGTCCAAACCCTTTTCCCTCTCCTACCCCCCTCTCTCTCTCTCCACTCCAAGCCCACGCTCACTGATGAATATCAAACGACGGGCCCAGGCTCTTCTTCAAACACTTTCTCCACTTCCTCCTGCCCCACTCACGCTACTTTGTACATCTCCTCTTCTTTTTCTTTTTTTTCAAACCGCATCCTTCCATGCAATTACTTTCCTATGAATATAAGCAGCCTTTTAAATGGCAGTTGCAGGGTGTGTGTCTTTGTGTGTGTCTTCATGAGCTCATTCACCGACACTTAAGAGATCCGACCAACAAACAGCAGCTCTCGGATGTCAGCACAGCACTCTTATCAGCCTGTGATGAATAGAATGGGAAAACGTGTCTTATCTTGTTCTTCCTACTTGTACCAGCACCGATCGATCTGCGCCAGCACCGAAATCAATACAGGATTGCACTTTTACACTCTATTGGATCTCGACACACGTTCTGTTTTGACAAGAAAAGCACTCCACAGCACCACACCGCAGACGTCGTGTCATTATCGAATCTGTCAGAGCTTATGTTTTGAACGAGGTTTACCGTGGATGCTGTATTTTTGTGCCATATGTGGGCATGTGAAAATTAACTGTCTGTTTTTTCTTTCTTTCTTTCTTTTTTTTTTTTTGTTGGAATTGGCCCGTCTTATGTCTGTGTCGGACTTCAGATGTTCAGGTGTGATATTCAGGCAGGCGGGAGGTGGGGAGACACATTACCATACTGCTGGGTTGGGGTGTAAAATTTACCTCCTCCATCCTCGGTGCTGAACAAGCGCGCAGGGGCATATAGAAAAACAGGAGTGAAAATCAGAGAATTATTTTTAATTGCTCAAACAGCTGATGCTGACGAGTATTTCAGTCGTGGGTTGTTTTGACCACCTTCAGGTGGAAAACATTCGTTACCCAAAACTCTGTTTCTGTGTCGAGTCTGCTTCCAATCTTAGGATGATGATTTAAACGGTGGAGGAAGATTCTTGTTGCAGATTATTTTGGAAGAGCCCCAAATGACTGTTGTCCCAGCGAACAGAGTTAAAGGGTTCCCAGATTGCTTGGGAGCCGGTCTGAGAAAGGTTAGCTAGAACTGAGAATAATGTTTCACAGCATGGCACGTGTGCTGCAGCCAATGCAAGAAGCTCAGAAGTATAATGAAGTCTGCGAGGTCATTGTGTCAGCTTCCCGCTGAGCAGCGATATCCCATTTCTCCAGAAACTGTGTGCAAACAGGCCAACAGAATAATACAAGGATCTGCACAAAGGTATTGTTCAAACTTGCATAAAAATACTACAATAATAATAATAATAATAACTTTATTTATAAAGCGCTTTCAAACAAAGTGCTGTACAACTATTTGAAACAAATACAGTATGTTTTTCTTACAGAACTGTGCAAAAGTCTTTAGATTTTGCCAGGAAATGGCAAACGGGTGCAATGATTTATTGAAACACAGAAATAGAGTATGCCTAAGCTAAAATAATTCTAATAATTGGTATGACTGCTTTTATTATTGAACACAGCCTGAACTCTGTTGGGCACTTTCTTGTAATTTCTTTAAGTAGTCCACAGGAAACGTTCTCCAGGCCTCGTGATGGACATTCAAAGCTCTTCTTTGGATGTTTCTGCATTTTTTTTTTCTGTTCTCTGTCATGATGACCCCACACTGCCTCAGTAATGCTGAGGTGCGTCTCTGGGGAGGCCAGTCCATGACTGATGGTGTGGTTTTTTTGGGGGGGGGGGTTTTCTCTCCAGGTATGCTTATCAGATTGTTTTATGACAGGCAACCAATTTAAAATCCTGAAGGCACGATTTAAAGCTGGTTATTACTAAGTTTCTTGTTATGTGTAAACACAACACTGGTTCATCCCTGAGGCTTGGTGCCTTTTCGTGTTGGAGCGATTCGTAGGTCACTATGTGACTTTTAGTTCGTATTGTATTTGCTACGTCTGGCGAAACATTAAGCGATGAGAGGTAAATGAAGACTTTTGCATCATTTACAGTTTTTGTAAGACTTGGTGTCACTACAAAGGCTTCCACTAGGAATAAACCAGCCTATCAAAACTAAAGTTGAGATTAAAATAAAATCCGTTTTAAATAGGCTTTCAAAAGTCAGATTATTTCTTCGGTCACTGTCGGTGAAATCCAGGAATTAATGACATTGTAGATGCTGCAACCAGTACACACTCTTTGTCATTAGCAACAACTCTCACAATTTCACGTGTTTCATTTGTGAACTGCATTTGCTGTATTTCAAAAAGTATGATACGTGTGACGCTTCAGGTCTAATGCATCTCGCCAGGCTTAGAGCTTGAATGTGTCTGTGATGGCTGGCTGATGTTGCTCCTCATTCTTTTCAAATGTGCTACCACTCTCACTCTCCTCTGCTTTTGCTTTGTGCAGGACTGTGTGTGTGTGTTTATACACAAGTTTGTCTGTCCATCTGTCTGTTCACCCATCCTGCTCTGCCTCTCATTGCTGCCACTAACATGTCACTCATGCTCCATGACAGCGTGCAGGCGTTGGCCGGGGATGGTTTGGGACATGGAGTACCCCTGGGCCAAACTGGACTGTAAGACTCTGCCTGCTTCCTCCATACTTGGCATGACGCCCGGCATCGGCTTGCTAACATCTATCACTTCGTTTAGGTCACCCTGAACCCCGCCATCGTCAGATAACTAAGGGTTGCGCTTGATTTAGCAGCAGGGTTTGAATTTAAGCCCCGCACACTAATTGCTAAATGAAGCGCTCCTGCAGTTTTGCCAGTTCGCTGTAAGGCATGCAACCCGAGCCCTTCACCTTGGTGGTTTGTCTCTTTCATAACGTCATCCTCACAGCTCCTGAATGTAACCCCAGTCTCACCCCACGACATCAGTCGAGCATCGCGGCTTCCTGCATGAGCTAGCCCGTCTGTCGCACCCGGACGAAGACTCCATCTTCACCACTCCGCCCTCCGTGTGTTACAACTTGCACCGTTTTGCTGCATTTTGAGTGTTTTTGTCATTTTGTGATCATTCGCTTTACTTTTTCAAATGATTAACTGCACACAAGAAAACCCATTTTTCTCTCTAAAAGTACATAAAAGCTCCCCCTGACCCTCCGAGGTGCCCCGGCATCTTTTCCCTCTCTCACGCTAACCCTCTCAGCTCGTAACATCGGTGGTAAATGTTTTTGTTTCCATGTGAACTGAACACCATTCGTGCTTGGGATTTTTTTCAAACTGGTCTCAGTTTTTAGAAACTCTAAGTAACCAGTTTGTCAGGTAGAGGGAAAAAAATGGCATTTGTTGATTAACTCATCACACAAATCAGTTAACCTTTTCTGACCTTTAAGCCTTTCAGCGACGGCTAACCACGACACCGCACGCGCTGGCTGAGTTTTCTTTTCAGCAGCGTTGTTGTGTCCTCCTGCAGTGTGATTAAGGTTGTGTGTCCTCTCTCTCATGATGCTTTACTCTTTTTTTTTTTTCCTCCTTTTAGATTAAAAATATCTTAAAGATCCAAATACTGTGTGTGGTGAAGGTAAGCCCCCCAAATGAGGCCGGACGCTTGTTTTGGTTCCGGCAGCCTGCCTACCTACCTGCTCCTCCCTCGTTCACTCATCCTGGCTGTTCCCCCTCCCCGAACCTCTCCTTTTTCATTCAATACTAACCGAGCTTTATTTACTGAGCGCTTTAACAAAGGGAAGGGACAGAAAAACCAGGCTGTTTATTTGGGGTATGTCCTACTGTTTAGGCCAGGCTGGTAATTGAGAGTGATGCACGGTGGGGACAATTAGCACCTGACTAAGTAGCAGCATGAACAATACGGCTACACTTCTGGCCCTCGCTTCTGCATGTGGCGCGCCTTTATCTCTTCCCCCAGCAAACACTTTTTTTCTTTCTTTCCTTTTTTTTTTTTTTCCTCCCTCAATCCCCCCACCGCCCCCACCCCTGTCATTTCCTCCTGTTGGAGTGTGCCTGTTTGCCTGGGGCAGACTCTGAGACTAACACCTGCCGCACTGGAAGACGTCTTTGTCATCTAAAGCCTTGTTTGAACTGCTGCAGTGGGGACCAATGGGATAGCAGGGCCATTTAAAGAGTCTCTTTGTTTTCTTTCTCCCTTTGCTTCTCCTCTCTTCTTTCCGTCAGAAATGAAGCTCGGCGTACGGCCGTTTTGACCGAGTATAGGGCGGACGTGTCGGGTTGTAATCACGATAATGATGACACATTAGCCTCTTCTGGGTCTGTGTTATTTTTCCCCACTTAGTAGCTTACTTGGAAAATTAATTCTTACAAAAGGCCATAGAGTGAAGAAGATCATTTAGAAACTGATGCAACCGCGGTCATTAAGTGCCACAGTGGTAGTGATGACTGTTTAGTGCAGCGCGTCTTTAATGGTGTGTTGACTGGATTGCCTTTAATAGTCGTATGTTTTTCCAGCAGATGCATTTTGCAAGAGTTTACTGTAGGAATGAGTACAATACGGGAATGCAGAAATCGTCCTGCTCATTTTTACCCAAGCCCGATCCTTTTTTTTTTTTTTTATATTCATATGCAGATTTGAGAATGCATGTTCAGACCCCCCCGCCTCACCTCCCCTGTAGCCCTTCACAATACCCACACCCAGCGTTTCATCCACGGCCCAGCCTCCTCTGTGTGAGCCGTGGCTCTGGATGCTGCTGGTGTCCACTGTGCGGCTGAGTGTCTGTTACTCCAGCCATCTGCCGTTCCTTTTAGCCGCTGCAACTTGAGATGCCTCCGAAAAAATGGCAGGAAATAAAAGGATAGGAAAGAAAATAGGCAACCAGATGCCACCTCAACAAAGCAGAAAAGTTGTTTAAACTCGAGGCATGGGGCCAAAGCGGGTGGGGTCGGGGTGGGAGGGGGCACCCGTAGTCGGGGTTCGGTCGGGGGCACAGCGAGGAAGTCGGCGTTCACAATAATTGATTGTCCTCGCCAGCATTTCGTGCCCACCTCCCGGCTTATTACCGTTTGTCATAATCATTGAAGTGAAGTTTTTGTGGAAAAGGAAAATGTTTGACAATAGGAAGGCTCCACATGTCCACAACAAGAGCGTAATGTGTAATTTCATTTTCATTCAAAGCATTCTGCTGTCACACTGTGAACTGAATCCTTTTTTTTACAAAGGTTGCCTCATTTTTCACATCATAAAAGGGAAACTGTTGGGGATAAAGGCGGCTTCTCTTCCAACAAGCTTTGCTTCTCTGCAGCATGTGACAAAAGCATGTGATTTCTGAGATGCGCCATCTTGATTCGAATGAATTCAAACTCGAATCCCGACACTCTTTTACTCTAAACTTGGTATTTGTGTGAATGTTGGTGGAAATCCAGGGAATTGGGTGATCCTGGTTTTGGGAGCAGCCGCGTGCATGATGGAGCGTGCTGGGATATAAAACAATCAAACCCTCCCTGTCTCTCTCTCTCTCGTTGTCGTGTTTCTATCTACAAACTTTTCCTCCATCTCTCTCTCCCAGGGTCCTTCACCGGCAGCGGAAGCACCGAAGCCGGAAGCATCACCACCACCACGACGGATTCAGTCGACCAGGTGTCTCCCACCATGCCCCGTGCCACAAAGAACAGAGTTTCCGGGAAACTCCGCCGATCAGCCAGCGCTATAAGCAAATCCTCCAACTGAGCTCTTCAACCCGTCCCCCTCTCCCCCCTACCCGAGTGCCGCCTTCAGTCTTTTCTCGAAAAACCTCACAAACTCAGCCGCGACTGCAAGAAATTACTTTGATGTTTCATTTTTTTTCCTTTTTGTGACATATAAACATTAACTGGAGCATACGGCAATTTTTCATTTAAGTGGCAATCATTGATTTCTTTGTCAGTACATTTCACTTTGTTGTGGTGTTAACTGAGACAGGTGTGTGTGTGAAAGTAAGCTATTTATGTTTGTTGGTTTCAGCATAGGAGGCACCTGCGATGATTTTATCATTTTCTAGAGCGCTCGCGTGCGCTAGAAAAACACTTAAAGTTCTTACTGTAGTAAGGTAACGGGAGACTGTTTCCCCCTGTCTCTGTAGTTCCTCTGTCCCAGCACTTCATGTAACAAAGCACTGATGACGCAGCTGTAAATGACACCACGCTAAAACTGCACAAGAGTTTGGTATCCATTTATAAATAAGTCTGCCTTTTATACCTCTGTTTGCATCCGCCACAGCCTCTCTGTGGCGAAGATACCATTTCAGTTAGCGGCAGCGCAATGCCGTCCCATCCACGTCGGGGAATGATGTTCCTGCAGGAAAAAGCACCAATGGATGGGGAAAGCTTCCCCTGAATGTTTCGCAGTCGCTGCACTAGCACACGGGAGTCCCTGCAGCATGTGCAGCCAGAGGCTGTTTAATTGTTTTGAACTGGGAGTGGACAATCGATGACGTCTTTCTAACTTGAGCTGAAATGACATTTGGGTTACTACTCCAATTTTCCTTTTTAAATGAATTCCAATGGATCGTGTCATTATTTGATTTATGCAACTGCGCTGGAATGAGAAAACACTGCGTTTGTAATTGTTTTCTGATGTCGTTAACATAGGCTCATGTCCGGTAATTAAATAAGTTCCTCCTGTCTCTTTCCTCTGCTATCAGTTTCCCTGTCCTGTAAAGCCGAGACATCGACATTCCGACATTTCCAACATTCCCAACACACACTTTTGCACTCACTCTTGTCAGTTAACATCAAATGCTTCTTTGTTCTTGGATGTAAATTGCTTTAAATATTATTTGTTGATGGACTGTTTGAATTATCTTTTGCGGTGTTGTGTGTTCGTGTGGTGTTTAAAGGAAAAATGCCGCCAGAGCCTCAGGTAACCCCATGCACTGGTGTGTGTGTGTGTGAGAGTGTGTGAGATTGTGTTTCTGAGGGAGCGTCTCACAGTGCCTGTGTAATGTCTGTCTTCTAAGATGATGTCCCACATTATTTCCACGCCCCACAGCGTCCCGTCTCCTCCTCAGGAGTAAAAAAACAAAAACAAGTCTCTCAAGTGCACGTCTCATGAAAACAGCAACAGATGGATTTTTGCTCTTTATTTATTGGTGGTGTGCTGCCACCTTCTTTGTGTCAGTGGCATCCATTCGTCCTCTTTCCCATGATCCTCTTCCCATGTCATGGCCTCCTGAGGCCACGGGAGGGGGAGGAGGCGGCTGGGTTTAGGTGGCATGCCAGAGCTGAACTCTTAACAGCCCTCCTAGCAACAGCCAGCCCGCCTCTCGCACTCCTCCAACCTGCCAGCTCGAGTTGTCATGGTAGCCAGGTGTCCCCCGCCTCCCCTCCCTCCCACTCGCCCACTCACTCGCAAACATACTCGCTCACATAAACACACTATAGACTCTCACCCTCTGAGGGCTCCACCTAAGCTGCAACACTATCCCCCATCTGTTGCACTACTATGCCTTACTTTCCCCGCGTTCCTCTGTCGGTTTCTCCACATCTCGCCTCCTGTTGGTCCGTTCCCCGAGCAGGATGTGAGGAATCCCCGCAGCAGGAGGAGGACTGACAGATCTGTGCTCTCTTTATTTCATGTGTTGTCATTTTTGAGGAATGTATAGATATATAGGCCTGGATCACATCTATGGTTTTAATTTTCCCCAAAGCCACTTGAAGGAACTGACCATGATGTCGATCCAAAGATTGTAGCTTATAGAATATGTCTGTTAAAAGGAGGATTAGTCACTGGAGGTGTTAGTTCGGACCAAGATTGTGTGTCTTATACGCGTGAAGAAATTGAGATAGTCGTAGTTTTAGTTATTTTCTCCTTCTCGTTTTAGAAATCCTTGTACATTGTGTCAAATTTGAGGGCTTCGTTGCCCTCAGGATATAAATATATTAATGCCTGTAATATAATCTTTGTATAAGAGGGGGAAAAGCTTGAAACTTTCATCATTACTTGTCAACATATCAAACTGTTTTTAATGACCGAAGTCCTGCTATCTTTATTAGAAATGTGAAAACTGAAACATTTCATTAAATCGATTTGAAATTCTACCTGTCGTTGGCTGTATTTCTGATTATCTGGATTTGTGAGGTTTGTGTGTGTGGTTATGATGGTGCTGTTGCCATGGGCTCTGACCCTGGCCTGGCCGTGCTGGCAGCAGCAGGAGTAATCTGACCCTCCTCCCATCTGTCTCCCCTGCTGCTCTACCCTGCTTAGAGGAGCATAATGGAGCCCCACTAGGAGGTACAGGTGCAATTGGTTGCAGCATCTACAGGTGCCCTGCCTCTCCTGGGCCACATAAAGACGCAAGAAAAGTACTTGACTGTAATTGCAGCCCTTAAATTGTGCATCCGTGAGAAAGAAACCTAATGTTGCCCCATTTTCACCCGGCTCGGCACTGTTTGCTTGTTTGTCACCGACTCTGAGATGCGTTACGACAGAACAGGCTGATATCCCCGTGATTACTACCAAATTGTGTTATTTCATGTGTTACACTGGCAGCTGCAGTCAATTTTCACACTTCAGATCTCACTCTTTCTTAATGTATTGTCAGTGTTGCCTGGAGGAGCTCGAGGAGGGGGTAACACTGAAAAGTTTGCCTTCTCTTTGGCCTTGCACCGCTGCAGGAGTTTTAATAAGCACAAGAACTCTGCAGAAGCAGGAAGAGACTGTGAGGAGTAAAAGTTAGTGAAGAGGTGATGTTTTTAAATGTGTGTGTGTGTATATTTTTTATTTTTACACTACATTAGTCTCTCAGTTGACCTTTTTTTTTGGCATCACTGATCGGCCTGTGAGGTCAGCTATATGTGTCTTCTGCTAAATTACCACCAACTTAATGCTTTATGGATTCTGGAGGTCAGCTTTGAAGCCAGTTGTGCCCTGATGTGTCCTAAATCATTTGAAAACAACCGAAGCAGGAAAAGAAATCGAGTTGTGTGAGTTTTCCAAAGCAGACAGATGTTTTACTGCTGCAGAGGTGAGCTCTGATCCACCACCTCTTTGTCCTGCTGTCATGTCCTGACGTGGTATTAAGAGGGTGAATTTATGATTAGGCCTTAAGTGCTTCACTGAGGCAGCGAAACGGCGTCTATTGAGCCACCGCAGCGATGATTTACGCAGAATAAGTCTGATGTCGAAGGCACAGGGGGGGTTTAGCCAAGGGAGTTGGACTTTCTCCCTGTTAAAGACGACTAAATAGATTGGTATCGTTTTGGAGTGTCACCATGTGTGGGAGAGGTGTTGAAGACGAACCTTTACAGGTTTTGAAAGGTGACTTGGTTTAATTTCACACTGTCAAAGTTTAACAATTTGTCATCTCGCTCTTGTGCTTCAGAAGTAGAATGTAGAACATTTTAGTCGAATAGAGTTTAAAATATGTGGAGGAACGGAGCGGGGTTTATTTTGGTGTGTGTTCCTGTGCGCACTGCGCAGTTTGCGGGTTGAAATTAAGAAAACGATTGCACATTTTGGCATTTCTTCTCGGCTTTTCCAAAAGGAGCAAAACCAGAATGAGCCTCGAGCTCATTGTGATTTAGTAATAATTATTGTAGCACGAGGAGTTTTGTTTGGACATAAAGTTCATGGTGTCGTGTGCGGCTTCCTGTCTGTGTGAAAAGCGTCTTGAGACCACGTGTCCTTTGGAAAATATTTTATTTCGATAGACAACAACGATATACACATACAATCAAAGCGCTATAAAAGCCAACATTTAAGAAAAATAACTTGTCCTTAAAAAAGATTGCATCTAAGGTAAGAGCTTTACGTTTTTTTCCTCTTTTTTTATTTTTTTAAATTTTTTATTTTTTTTACAAGAGCTGTGGAGATTGAAGATTAAAACCCGACCCACGACATTTATCACAACTCATAACTTTGACAAAAGGAAACAAAACAAAACAAAAAAAAACACAAAAGATTTGGCTATACGACATGTAAACTGCCAGAACGATTCACAGGAAAAAATCACGACAAACACAACAATAAGTTACATAAAATAATTAGAATAAATAAATAAATAAACATATGATGACAAATATTGCAACAATTTTCAATAATAATAATAAAATATGTGCCAGCATTCAAATTAAAACAATCTATGTTGACTTTTTTTAAGGCAGTTATACAGCGGGATTTGGATGTGTACGTAGGCTATTTCGGACTAGGCTTATTTGTATACTAAAGGCATTTGTGGTTCTACTAAACAGGGAATTCCTCAGTCACTCTTTTTTTTCTTCTCCATCAACACAAAGTAAGTTCTGTCATTCACAAACTAGCGTAAAGCTACAGTGATAGAGCAATCACGGCCGGTGAAGTCAACAGGCTTTGATGGGGAAAAGGATTTCTGAGAAATTTAAGACATTTCTTAGGTCTAGAAGCTATCGTTGAACATGTGCTGTCCTAGAAAAATACCCTTTAACAGTCAAACTAACGCTTTGTATTCGTTTTTTTTTAATCTTGATAAACTAATTTGAGAAAGAAAATCTCAAAATAGGCCTATATGTAATTCAAATATAGAGAGAAGCATTCAACAATCACTGATTGGCATGGAAAAGACACCACTTAAACATTAAACCGCTCTGCCTTTCATTGGCCTAAAGTTATGGCAGTGAGCACAAACCCTTTGTGTTTTCGTTTCTTTTCTTTTTTAAGCCCCAAAGCCACTTTTCTATCCGCTTCTTAATTATTATTTTTATTTAATTTTCCCCCATCAAAGGCACGAGTTCTGTGTTGTCTTTAGCAGGCGGGGCGCACCGGCATTTGGAGCAGGATCACCTGCCTGTTCTCCGAGGGGTGGCACTTGTTTATGTGCCTGGTGAGCCCCGGCGAGCTGTAGAGGGTGGCGGGGCAGTATTTGCACGGATAAATCTGGGAGGAGTGCATGAGGCGCAGGTGTCTCTCCTGGCCGGCCCTGCTGGTGAAGCTCTCCCGGCACACCGGGCACAGCAGGCAGTCCACCGGGCTCAGATTGAGGGGGCTTTGGTTTGAGGCTTCCGCTGAGGATGAGGATGATGACGCTGATGAGGAGGTGTTTGACTCCGGAGCCTGCTCTGCCGGGCGGTCGCTGGTTTGAAACCCGCGCTCCTCCAGCACTTTCTTTTGCAGGGCCTGGTGTCCCATGATGTGTTTCCTTAGGCACGCCTGCCGCTTAAACCTCTTCCCGCAGAACTGGCAGTCATAGCAGCCATCTTCAGAACCCGATTCGGACAGACCTGGACTCGGGGTGTCTCTGTCGCTCATGTCTTTGGCTTCGTCGGAGACTGACTTGACACCTAGTGGTGGCATTTTGGCCATTTCAGGTTTGAT